ATGAATTTGGTAAGGAATTTTCTTACCAAAAGGATTTCTCGCTTCTTTGGCTTGGTCACGCCGAAAACTAACATGGTCACGTCTGGCTTCTAAATTGGGCGGTGTCGTCATGCCTGATCCTAACACGGTCAACCTGTAAGTTTGAATTTCTGGTATGGTCACTCCACTGCTATTGATCGCTTGGCGTAGTCACACCACTTTATGCCGTTTTTCTGTTGGTTTTTCTTATTTAAAATTTCTCGTATTCAACACTTATAACCTGCACAATATCAACAAAAGTCTTTCTCAAGTGCAAATCTGTGATAAATAAGAAAATAAAACATGTAAAATGCAGGATAAAATGCATGTGAAAGTACTTAAAATTGACACATTTTAGTGTTTGGTGGCGATCAATAGCTGTAGAAGTGATGTTGGACTTCTGCACTTTCTTCAAGCTTCTAGCTCTATCTTTAGCCTTCAAGCTCTCCTTCCATGCTTCAAACTTCTTCCCTTATTAAGAGGGACGTATGACTCTATTTATAAAGTCTTAGTTGCAATTACTAAAACAATATGAACTATTCTGATCAGACGACCCTGAGAAATTCCCTCAACAAGATTGTGTTTGATGAATATTTTAGTGTCCTAACAATGTCAGAATTGAGCGATATTTGGCTTGATGGATTTGTCTTGTCAAGCCACTTAATTTGGCTATAAGCTTGTCTAATTCGACATTTCTTTGACAGTCCAAATATGCCCTGAGAGATTTCAAATTATGTTTAATGGCTTGATCTGAGATTGATTTAGTCTATATTAAACCAATTTTGTTACCATTGAGCTGGTCAATTTGACTATAAGTTTACTGAAATTGGAGTTCTAAATTACTTTTAATCAAAATTTGAATGTTTCTTGCTCAAAAGATTATCTCAAAATTCATATCATGCCTTGAGATTCAAGCTGATCAATAGGAATTTGTTGATGACGTATGACACCCAAATATTTTACATCAATAAAAAATAAAACTATAGTCAATTTTGGGGATTTACATACTCAACACTCAAAACTATTAATATTGCATATCAAACACTAAGTTTGGATAAAAGCCACCAACCCAACGGTCTAAGGAGAGCGCCTAACCTCGATCAAAGCGATTAGCCATGGACCTAAAAAACTGGCGTGGTCACGTCTAGCTTCTAATTCGGACGGCGTGGCACGCCTGATCCTGGCACGGTTAACCCGTAAATCTGGTTTTCTGGCATGATCACTCCACTTCTATTGATCAGTTAGTGTGGTTACACCGCTTTATGCCATTTTTCCGTTGTTTTTGTATATTTCAAATTTCTCGTATTAACACTTATAACCTGCACAACATCAATAAAAGTCTTTCTCAAGTGTAAAATTGTGATAAATAAGTAAAAATAACATCTAAAATGCGGGATGAAATGCTTGTGAAATCACGTAAAATTGACACATTTTAGTGTTTGGTGGCGATCGATAGCTGCAGAAGTGTTGTTGGACTTTTGCTATTTCTTCAAGCTTCAAGCTATGCCTTCAAGCTGTCCTCCCATTCTTCAAACTTCTTCCCTTATTAAGAGGGGAGTATGACTCTATTTATAAAGTCTCAGTTGCGATTAATGAAGCAATATAAACTATTATGATGAGACAACCCAGAGAAATTCCCTCAACAAGAGTATGTTTAATGATATTTTAGTGTCTTAACAATGTCAGAATTGAGTGATATTTGTCTTATTGAATTTGTTTTGTCAAGCCACTTTTGACTATAAATTTGTCTGATTCGACATTCTTTTGACCTTCCAAATATGCCCAAAAAGATTTCAAATTTTGTTCAATGGCTTGATCTGAGATTGATTTGGTTCATATTAAACCAATTTTGTTATCATTGTGTTCCTCTCATAGAGCTGGCCAGTTTGACTATAAATTTACTTAAATCAGAGTTCTAAGTTACTTTTAATCGAAATTTGAACATTTCTTACTCAAAAACTTATCTCAAAAATCATATCATGCCTTGAGATTCATGCTGAACAATTAGAATTTGTTGACGGCGTATCACACTCAAATCTTTTACATCAATAAAAAATAACACTATAGTCAATTTTGGGGATTTACATACTCAACACTCAAAACTATTAATATTGCATATCGAACACCAAAATTTCAATATTTGTCCTCTTTGGCTGGTGTTAGACGATCTCACCGGACACAACCCCCCATCTCCATGCCGCAACACATGAATGATGGAGCATTAATTTTGGGCGGGCGAATGGAAGATGACGGGATTAGGATTTTAAGTGCTAAAGATGTAAATATTCAAGTTTGAATGAGATATGTAAAATACTAAGAGTTTTAGGTGCTATGTTGTAAATCCTCCTATCATTTTTTTTAATGTAAAATATATATTGTAATGTTTAAAGCACCAAAGTGTTATTAATCTAAATATAAAAATTTAAATATGAGATTTGTAAATACATACCAATTATGTGCACATTATGTAAATTTTCAAAAAATAAAATCTTTTGTTTTACACCTTTTGGGATTGATGCGTGCTGAAAAATCCGTGGCGGTAGAGTAACAAATTATCGTCTTAGCGTTATACAAGAATTCAGCACATACACCGATGAAAGATAAGCAAACAGTGATGGCTCCAGAAATTTTTACGTGAAAAACCCTTAAAGGGAAAAACCACGTGGTGAGTCTAACCCAGTTGCGGAAATCCACTATTGATTGATGATTACAGAAATTCTTTATCCTACAGACGAGAAAATGATAACTATATTTTTCGGGTTACAACGTTAACTGACGGTTGATGGAGGTCGACGACGGTCGGTAATGGTCGATGACGATCGACGGTGGTTGGCGATGGTTTTCGGCGAGCGGCGGTGATGCTGATGTGCAACTTCTCATCAAGGCCTCAAGCTCTTTCTCTAGAGTACCCCCCTCTGGGAGGGTCTATTTGTATTGTTCTCAGTGCAATTAATGCATGAATATGAACCATTTTGATCGGACGGTCCGGAGTGCTTCCCTTGATCATATTACATTTAATGAACATTTGAGTGTCTTAATGATGCCAGAATTGAGTGATCTTAGGCTCTTTGGATTCGTCTTGTTGAGCCGCTCGATTTGAGTATAAACTTGTCATATTTGACAACCGTTTAACTTTCCAAATGTGTCCAAAAAGTTTCTAAGTGTGGTTCAATGACTTGATCTGGACTTGATTTGACTCGGTTTGAACTAATTATCATTAGGTTCATTCCATCGAGCCAGTCAATTTAACTATAATTTTGTTGAAATCGGAGCTCTTGATGATTTTTTATCAAGATTTGAATGTTTCCCAAGATTTGAACGTTTCTTGCTCAAAATATTATCTCAGGATCCGTGTCATGCCTTGAGATTCGTGTTTGATGAAAGAATTCGTTGATGATGTATCAATATATCTTGAGATTCGTGTCAGATGATGAAAATTTATTAGCGGCGTATCAGGGATCAATTTTATTTTATTTATTTTTAAAAACATATTTATTTAATGTTTTTTTAATATATATA